TGGAGAAAATCTTAGATCCGCCCCTGCTAACATCGATGCTTTTTGTAGGACCCAATTATCTTATTTGTAGCATGGTATCTGTTTAGGTGTGAACAGAGAGGTGCATTTGAGTGAGGCTGGTCTGGATGGGATGAGGGAAGCTGGCGTAGTGGCCAGACATGTGCTGCAGTTAGTGGCCAACAGTATCTGTGAGGGAATATCATGCGAGGAGATAGATCTGCTAGTGTACAATGAGGCCATCAAGTGTGGCGCATATCCGTCCCCCTTAGCATACAAGGTACCTTTCGATAGTTGAGGATTAGTTTGCACTGTCTCAGCTTATAAAAGATGGATTACCACTCATTTTTCGGCAGCAGGTATTAAGCAGAGCAAAAACTTCCGTACACTAATTTACGCTGTTAATTTCACGGTTTTTTTAAAAGCTCGAAGCTATTTTGTTGAAAAAAAAATTAACCACGGGCAGATTTGGGGGTGGGGGGAACTTTCTACTGTTTTGAGATATCCATTTTTGGCTGACGATCGCGCCGAAAAAATGCGATTTTTTGGTAAATATTTTTTAAAAAGGGCCTGACGAATTTAGGAGAGCTTTTGCCTGCGAATTTAGGAGAGCTTTGGTAGAGCTCGGAAAATCATTTTGGTCGAGCTAAAAAAAATCCGCTCAAAGGAAAAAGAAAAAGAGCCGTTGTTTTTTTTTAAAGTTGCGGGGGTGAAAGTCGAATGCGTGCCGGAAATTCGAATGCGGGGATGATAGCAAATCTTTACCTGTGAATTTCGTTTGCAATAATGTCCGATTATGTAAACGGCTTTTTTCTTCAATTTTCAATTTTTCAGTGAGTTTTAATTAACCTGACTCATTAGTCATTAGAGGGCTATGAGAGGAAACAAGGAAACAACGACCGAGAGGCGGCGTGTCTTGATGATGTAATTAATGGATCAAGTAAACATCCTCCCTCCCGCGTATTCATAGGTTCCAAAAAAAAAATCAGTCCCATAGGTTCCAAAATAAAAAAGCAGTCGCATAAGTTCCAAATCTTTTCAATTGATCAAAAGACTAAATTAGCCGAGTCTCGGTTTAAGGTCGCCGCTTCGCGGCGATAACCGGCTCTAAATTTCGTATAGAGTCCTACCCTTTGGTGGCAAGCTCGCAACACGTTGGCTCAAATTTCAACCAATCAGAATTCAAGAAGATAAATTTTGGAACTTATGCGACTGATTTTTTATTTTGGAACCTATGAACATTGGAACCTATGGGAATTCACCCTCCCTCCCCTCCCCACCCAAATAGACCAAATTCAGATCCTCCACCCGAGCGTTCAATTTAAACTAAATTTGCTTAGCACTACGTGTAAAGTGAAATGTTCTTTTCTGATTGGCTGAAAATTCGAACCCTCACCCAAGTTAACAGCCTCCCCCCTAAACGGATTTGGGGGAAGGGGAGGAGGAAGGATGTTAACTTTGGAGGAGGAAGTATGTTAACTTTGGAGGAGGAAGGATGTTAACTTGGTCTTGGTTTGGTCCTAAATAATTGCCGTATATTTGGGTTTTGGCTGAAAAAGGGGGGGTTTTGTTTCCTTTTATCAGGCTGGTAAAGCAGAAACAAATAAATGTAAGAAAGTAAAAAGTGTGAAACGAAAGCAAAATTCATCTCCGGCGGGATTCGAACCCGCGACCTCTGGATTAGAAGTCCAGCGCGCTATCCACTGCGCTACGGAGACTTGAGAGAAGTGTATTTAGCTGTTATTATGAACTAGTGCAGATCTTGTGCTAACCTTAATAAAACGATCTCTGTAAGAAGTAATGTTGATTGATATAATAAAACCTGCATGTTTAGTTTAGTTTAGCTAACAACAAATAGCAAACAGGCATGCGATTAAGCCAACAACCACTTAGCACAGGTGATGCTCGACTAGTTTTGAAAAACATCAAGGATCTGAGCCATAATAATACCCCAACTGTCGCAGTCGCAACCGCCATTCAGCCCATCACAGACGACATTGCCACTCAACTAGCCCTACCAACCAACGAAAACTTAGTTCGCACCCCACAACGAGCGCGCAAGCAACGAGAAGAAGTGTTACCAGTCTCCCCAGCAACCAGAAGTTTCGAAATACCCGAACTGTTCAAAAATTTTATATTATTTGATAGTGCGCAAAATGATCACGAAGATAATTTTATTCGGCGACCCTGAAATGCTACGTGTGCTTGACTAATCTAACTTTTGGTTGGCTGATGGAACTTTCAAAGTCATCCCGAAAATGTTTTATCAACTTTACTCTATACACATTAGTATTTCAGGAATAGCCCCCGCTTGCATATATGCGTTCCTGCCAAATAAAACAAAAAAAAACGTACCACCGTTTCTTAGAAGCCCTAAAAATACTAGCCCCTGATAGTAGACCTGGAAAAATTTTGCTGGATTTTGAGCAGGCTGCTATTCCAGCGTTTCAGAAAAATTTTCCCGAGTACAAGCTGTCGGGATGTTTCTTTCATCTTTCCCAAAGTTTTATGAGAAAAATCTTGGAGCTCGGATTGAAAAAAGATTACGAAAGAAACCACGAGTTCGCTTTAGCACTCAAAATGTTAGCCGCACTGGCTTTTGAAAAAGAAGAAGAAATAGGAATTTTATACGATAAAATAGTGGAGGAAATTCAAATTGTTTGCGATCAAATCATAAAAGAGTCGGAAAAAATAGCAAAAGTTGACGAGATTTGCCTTTATTTTGGATCTAACTACATAAAAATTCTCGTCCGCAATCGAGAAGTCCTATTCCCCCTTTCATTATGGAATCAAAGGGATGCGGCATCATCGGATTTGGCCAGAACAACAAATGCTGTAGAGGGCTGGAATTATGGCATACAGTCATACTTCAGTGGATGGCATCCCAGTATATGGAAAGTTATTGCAAATTTGCAAAAAGACGCTTCCGTCCAAAAACTTAACGCCTCGAGTGGGCACCAATTTACAAAAAAGAAAAAATACCGGGTGCTCAACGAAAAAATGCAGAATATTATGCATGTTTAACAAGAAAAAACAGATTTGCATTTCTTTCGCGCTATGGCGAACTTGAGTTAAACATTTGCTGTTTGTCAATTTTTTTTGAGAAAAGACGTCTCCTGGCAGCTTCCCGGAGACGTAACAAAACGCATTGACTTGACTCGCATTTGAAAAATGCTGTCTCTAGCAATTTAATCCCGGAACAATTGCTCTTTTGGATGGGACGCTAGGTTGGGACTAGGGGCTGGCAAACCGTTTAGACATTGTGTTGTATGCCGACAATTCAAAACAAATGACAAAGTTTAGTGGGTTTGAAAAAATAGTCAAGTTTTTTGAAAATGATCGGTGTTTCAATTTAAAATGGTCCGCTTAGATCAGCTTTTGGGTCACAACCAGTTCTCATTTCATATTTCATTTAAATTCAGCCAATTAATCTTCTATTGGCAGAAAATGTTTCAAGATCAAGTTCAGTTTTGGAAAAATCTAATCAGTTTTGGTAACTAATTTGAATCATTTCGGTCGGATTCGTTTTCAAGTTCATATCAAGTTTTCAAGCTCATATCAAAGTTCATATTTCTGTTCAAATTTAAAACGCATTTAGCAGCGTGCAAGTTAATTCATTTTGTTTCGCAAAATTTTTCGCAATTAAAGCTTTGATGTTTACCGACGCTATGGTTCCGAATCCCTTTCAAGTAAGTTTCACTTGGATTCTAACAATTGGAATTAAAAAGGTGTTAAATTTTACTGGTGTTATCTAATTTCGGGGTTATATGAGAGGGGGTTAAGAAAAAGGGGATTGAGAAACAAGGGGTGATAAGCTTGGGAACCAGTTCAGGTAGGGGTATCCCTTAAGGTTTTGGTAGGATAATTCTTGAAGGAATTAGGAATTAAGGGATTATCTTACGAGGTTATATTGCGAGTTATCGCGTTCTGCGAATTGTCGTAATTGCTAATCTATACGACTTGTTTTTCTGCGATTTGCTTTTTCCTGCGAGTTGTCGTGTTACGTACATGTCCGAACAGATAATACCCTACGGCTCTTTTCCATTTTCCCCCTCATCTCAATTTTTTTTCCATTTTTTTTGGTTATCTTACGTGTTATTATGGCTGAATGCGTGATTTTACCAATGTACGGTATGAAGAACAAATTTGTTCACAATAGTTAGTTGGTTCACCATGCAAAATTTTTCAAAATGGTTCACCATGGAATGAAAAAGAGTCCACCCTCGTCGCGAAAAATTGCACCAGGTGAAATAGACGAAGTTGGGAACCCCAAAGCGGCTTGAAATCTCTCAGTTGAGGATGTTAACTTGATGCGCATTTTTATTTGCACACCAGCGGAATTTGAAGACCTTGTATTAAAAATAGCAAATCAACATTTTCCAATCAAAGTTGAGCATTGTAGTTGAACTGTTGTATTCAATTTTTGAGTTAAGTTGACCATTTTAAAAATTCTGTTATCATATTCTTTCCGCTGACTTAATGCGTATTCGTTGCTAATATGAAAATTAAATGTATAATTTAACTCATTTTATGAAAATGATGAAAACGCAGCGAATGAATATTTTCCCCTTCAAGTTTCTTGCTAACATCCAAAGGCGGATTAAAGGGGGGGGCGGACGCCCCCCCTCCCCCCTCAGGGATTCGACCCCCTGCCGACCCAAAGGGTCCCCCCTTTGATACTTTTTCAGAAATCCATTTTTGGCCGACCGACCCTAAAATTTTTCTAAAGGCGCCTTTGGCGCCAATATATACTAAGTTTGAGGGCGAGCGCGCGCCAAAAAAAAACGCGATTTTTTTGTCAAAATTTTTCAAAAAGTGCCCAAAAACTGCTTATTTGACGGTTTTTTCAAAAATTTCCCTGCGGCGCAGAAAAATTTTCGATTTTTTTTTTTTTTTTGAAAATCCGCCCCTCCCCCCTGGAGAAAATCCTAGATCCGTCCCTGCTAACATCGATGCTTTTTGTAGGACCCAATTATCATATTTGTAGCATGGTATCTGTTTAGGTGTGAACAGGGAGGTGCATTTGAGTGAGGCTGGTCTGGATGGGATGAGGGAAGCTGGAGGAGTGGCCAGACATGTGCTGCAGTTAGTGGCCAACAGTATCTGTGAGGGATTATCATGTGAGGAGATAGATCTGCTAGTGTACAATGAGGCCATCAAGTGTGGCGCATATCCGTCCCCCCTAGCATACAAGGTACCTTTTCATAGTTGAGGATTAGTTTGCACTGTCTCAGCTTATAAAAGATGGATTACCACTCATTTTTCGACAGCAGGTATTAAGCAGAGCAAAAACTTCCGAACACTAATTTACGCTGTTAATTTCACGGTTTTTTTAAAAGCTCGAAGCTATTTTGTTGAAAAAAAAATTAACCACGGGCAGATTTGGGGGTGGGGGGAACTTTCTACTGTTTTGAGATATCCATTTTTGGCTGACGGTCGCGCCGAAAAAACGCGATTTTTTGGTAAATATTTTTTAAAAAGGGCCTGACGAATTTAGGAGAGCTTTTGCCTGCGAATTTAGGAGAGCTCGGAAAATCATTTTGGTCGAGCTAAAAAAAATCCGCTCAAAGGAAAAAGAAAAAGAGCCGTTGTTTTTTTTTAAAGTTGCGGGGGTGAAAGTCGAATGCGTGCCGGAAATTCGAATGCGGGGATGATAGCAAATCTTTACCTGTGAATTTCGTTTGCAATAATGTCCGATTATGTAAACGGCTTTTTCCTTCAATTTTCAATTTTTCAGTGAGTTTTAATTAACCTGACTCAGTAGTCATTAGAGGGCTATGAGAGGAAACAAGGAAACAACGACCGAGAGGCGGCGTGTCTTGATGTAATTAATGGATCAAGTAAACATCCTCCCTCCCGCGTATTCATAGGTGCCAAAATAAAAAATCAGTCCCATAGGTTCCAAAATAAAAAAGCAGTCGCATAAGTTCCAAATCTTTTCAATTGATCAAAAGACTAAATTAGCCGACCCTTTGGTGGCAAGCTCGCAACACGTTGGCGCGGCTGCGGCGGTCACTATTCTGCAGCTTGAGTTTATGCTGGTTGAACAGTAAACAATCAATCCATAAATTCGTTGGCTCAAATTTCAACCAATCAGAATTCAAGAAGATAAATTTTGGAACTTATGCGACTGATTTTTTATTTTGGAACCTATGAACATTGGAACCTATGGGAATTCACCCTCCCTCCCCTCCCCACCCAAATAGACCAAATTCAGATCCTCCACCCGAGCGTTCAATTTAAACTAAATTTGCTTAGCACTACGTGTAAAGTGAAATGTTCTTTTCTGATTGGCTGAAAATTCGAACCCTCACCCAAGTTAACAGCCTCCCCCCTAAACGGATTGGGGGGAAGGGGAGGAGGAAGGATGTTAACTTTGGAGGAGGAAGGATGTTAACTTTGGAGGAGGAAGGATGTTAACTTGGTCTTGGTTTGGTCCTAAATAATTGCCGTATATTTGGGTTTTGGCTGTAAAAGGGGGGGGGTTGTTTCCTTTTATCAGGCTGGTAAAGCAGAAACAAATAAATGTAAGAAAGTAAAAAGTGTGAAACGAAAGCAAAATTCATCTCCGGCGGGATTCGAACCCGCGACCTCTGGATTAGAAGTCCAGCGCGCTATCCACTGCGCTACGGAGACTTGAGAGAAGTGTATTTAGCTGTTATTATGAACTAGTGCAGATCTTGTGCTAACCTTGATAAAACGATCTCTGTAAGAAGTAATGTTGATTGATATAATAAAACCTGCATGTTTAGTTTAGTTTAGCTAACAACAAATAGCAAACAGGCATGCGATTAAGCCAACAACCACTTAGCACAGGTATGGTTAAGTTCGGGGCACATGAAAAGTGCGTACCCACGGAGCCGCATAACCGTATGGTTGCTACTATGATAAAGTGGTCCCTTGGGAATAAGACACATAGGGCTGAAATGTTAACTAATAATGATTTCGCCATTCAGAAAGATGTCGCAGTATATTTTAAAACAAATTTTATGTTTCTTTGTTTCGTAAAACCTTCCGTCTCAGCATTTTAAGTTGGAAAATTCAAAAAAATTGCCAAAATCGAATTTTGATGATAAATAAGCCAATCCAATTATGGGCTCTTTTTCCTTTTTCCCCCCACCTGCAAATTTTTATATTTGAAATTACTGTTCACTTTGTCCGATTGTCTTGAAATTTGACATGCAGACTAGCTAGGTTACGAGAAACATATTTGGTCTTCATAATTAACCTTGTAAAACCACTCGTTAGACCATAAAATTCATGTTTGAGTGAGGTGGGGGGGGGGGGGGGGGGGGGGTAACATCAGGCATTTAGCCGTAATAACACGTAAAACAAACAACAAACATAAACCGTAAAACAATGATTTCACGGTTTTCTCAGCTAAGTTTTGTTTGTTCTAACCGCTTCCTTTTTGAATCTTCTAAACTTAAATTTATCTTAATTGAATTATTACATTGTGGTCTGGTAAAAGGTCGGTCTGGTAAAAGACCTAGCCCCGCAAAAAGGGTAGACAGCGAGTTCCATGCGTGCCGCTTAGCATGCGCAAATGAAATAATTTCTTAATTTGATGCGACACGCATTAATTTGAGTTTCAGTTGCAAATTTGAAAAATTAAACTTCATTCTGGATGCGCTACCCGTCGGATGCTATTTCCAGCTTTGACAATTTTTTTTCCAGCCGATTTTGAAAAAATGTGTGGTAAGAACATTCTGTGCTACTTGCAAAAGAAACCGACTATGTTTGCTCTAATCTCCCCAACTGTTGAAAATTGAGCATCAACGGATTAACATGGCATCAGACAACTGCAAAGAACCCCTCTCTTTCACATTAAAACTGTAATTGAACCGGTTTTTTTTTCATTTCAGGGTTTCCCTAAATCTTGCTGCACGTCAATTAACAACATAGTCTGCCATGGAATTCCAGACGATACTCGATTACGTAACTCTGACATAATCAACGTTGATGTCACTCTTTTTGTGGACGGATACCATGGCGATACTTCACGAACATTTGTGGTTGGCGAAGTTTTGGACCAATCAGGGCGCGACTTGGTGTCCGTGTGTGAACAAATCATGCTGAAGGGAATTGAATCGTGCACACCAGGAAACACAGTATTTGATGTTCAAAAATCCTTTCAAAGCGAGCTGGATGTGTTTTTGGCTAAGAATCCGGATTGTAAATTTGTTTTTGACTCTAACTTTTGTTCGCATGGAATCGGGTCTGAATTTCATGCCGCTCCTAATTTGCACACGAAGTTGGGCTCGGGGGATACTGGACACACTTTCGTGGAAGGACAGACTTTGACGATTGAGCCGATTTTGATGGAATGTGATTCGCCAGTGACTATTCTGGAGGATGGCTGGACGTGCACTTCTACTGTTCCCCTGGCCAGAAGTGCCCAGTTCGAACATACAGTTTTGATCACTAAGAACGGACCAGAAATACTCACTTAGTTTTGACTGTCTCGATTTGATTCGAAACGCGTTTTCTTATGTTTATAAAAATATAAAAATATTTTTCCTATCTTATGCTTAAGAAAAGATTTTCTCAACACTTGTTTTGACGAGTACCCAGTTTGACGGAACATTATAAGTCGATGCCCAGTTCAAACAGATTATCTTGATTACACAACGGAGCGTAGTGTATTTTTACGAAGAGTTTTTTCTAACCTAAGTCGCAATTAAAAAGGCTCATTTGGTGGCACTTTTGGTATATTTAAATTTAATCATATTTAAGCTTGTTTAATTTAATGGCATATGTTGCTGCTGTAATTTTGGCTCATGTTAGATTCTGTGTTAAAAAAAATTGTATCATGAAAATGGGTTCTTTACGGCTATATCCTATCCACTCCCCCCCCCCCCCCCCCCACCACCCAAAAGGATAAAAAATAAAATTGAAATTTTTTCCTACAAAGTTGGACTGAGTTTCCTTAAAAAGCAGGGCTGATTCCCGAGCGTTAAATCAAGCTCGAAACTGGCAAAAAATGCAAAATAAATGACAATTAAAAACGCATTTAGCATCTTTTTCTGAAATTTATGCTCAGAAAATTGGCCAAAAAGTTAGTTTGAGGCTCAATTGAGTAAAAATGGTTCGTTTTTACCAATCCCGTAATAATATAGTGCATTTCCTAAAAAAAACTGTAAAATGTGTAGGATTTTTTGTTTTCCGTTTTTTTTTTGCGATGTTGTGGAAAATTTTAGCACTTTTCGCAAAAATTTCAAGTTTTGTCAAAACTGTACTGTTTTACTGATTTGCAGCAAAAAACTACTGTGCCGAAAAAATGGTACAAATAGAAAAACTGTGCTCGCATAAATTTTTATTCTCGTTTCATTTTATCTCATGTTCTACGGCCTTCGAAAGCTTAAGTAGGGGGGTTTTCGGCCTATTCGTTTTGATTTTTTTTTCATTTCCTCAAATATTAAAGGCTCAAAACTGAGATTAAGATTTCAATCAACAGAACAAGTTATGGGGATCTCCCATTCTCAAGCGTATATTCCCTAAATTTCGAATAAAAACGTTACGGCCTCAAACAAGCCCATTTATGAAGTTCTGTTTAATTTTACCCAAACATTTTGACTATTCACAAAAACTACCCTACCAAATTGGAGATTAAGGGTTCAACCGAAAAAAAATATCATTATGCGAATTTTACCGGCATAAGAGGCTATGCCCTAAAACTAACATGCTGATTCTGAGGTTGATAGCTCATTACAACTAACATGGTGCTTAGAGTTTCCCTACGTTGTCTGTTTTACCTTGTCTTTTTTCTAGAAAACTTGATATGGTTTTGGAAAAATCGTTTTTACCTTTCCACGGTAAAGTTTTAGAATAATTGACCGGTTTCGCGAATGTTTTCACTTTTTTCGAAAACTTCCTAGCCAAATATGAGATAGACTTCAATTGAAAGAGGGTATAGTAGTTTTGTCTTTCCTCTAAGCGGTTTAATCCCTACTTAAGAAGATAAACATTAGGGTTTATTATAAAGTCCATTTTTGAAACTTTGAAAATTACATTTTTCCGTATCACCACAACATTTTATTTAAAAATATTAGAACAGGGAGAATCAGCATTAGCTGGGCCACTAGGTAACTTCCAAGTGAACTTGGCGCGGATGCAAAGATGGAAGACTCTAATCAACAGGTCGCATATTCATATCCAAATCATTTAATTAACTTTGAATTTTTCTGGTCGAATCTTTGCTGCATAACAGAGGCAGTTTGATAGAAATTTAGCTACTTTATACGTGGTTAGAGTTAGTAAAATTACAATCGGTCGTAGAGCAGATGTAAAAAGGTGATACTCTTAATATCAAACAAAAATTCAAGGTGTAATTTTAATATTTTTTTAAATTTCACTTTGTTTTGCCTGTGTAGAGCTTTTTTTTGCGTTTCCCTCACTTGAGTTTGCGAAGCGCAATTTCGCTTCTGTAAAAATCATATAACTCTCTGCGAAACTTTTTGGTAAATGACAGCCATGAAAGCCCACGTGCGCTACCCATTAAAGTAGTTGATAAGCAACAGCTATAAATTGCATGGAGAGATTTTGTGAGAAAATCGAGACATCCAGTGAGCACAAATTTCGAGATGCAATGTAAGCTATTGCTTATCGGGTATCGAGTTTTTTCTTTACTAATTGTTGTTCATAAATAAAAATAATAAAACACGCATTTTTTCTTTTTTCTTTGTATTTAAAGTAGATGATGGTGTTTCTCATCATGGGGAACCGAATGATGGACTATTTGAAACCGGTTCCCCCCTTTTTCACTCTAAACAACTTAACACCCTACAATTTCACTCCCTACTTTTTATTGCCTTAGCAATATAACATCGCTACGTTTTAAAACAATTTCTATGACTTAACACCGTTTTAATCCAAAATGAAAAGAAAACTTACTTCAAAGGGGATTTCGGTAACCATCAAAGAATTAAACGAGAGAAATTTTTGCCATTTATAGCCAGAAAAATTTGCGCTACTTAATTCGCGTAAGTTTTGAATAGAAATGACCTTGCAAATGATTTCAATGAAACGTTTCAAACCAAAATGAAATGGCCTTGCCAATATTTTCAATGAATCATTCCAAAATGAACCAAAAACAAGCAATAGTTCAATGAACTTCAAAAGCCCGCAAATAATTAGACGTCCTTTGACTAATATGGCCTGATTTTCTAGACATTTTTAGCCGGTATAGAAATTAAAAAATGGTTTAACCAATGCCAAAAGCCTTAAAATCATTATTTTTAGAATCATTCTCGAACTTAAACTTATGACCTGATCGATTTGTCAGCTTTTTTTGAACTGTTGGCACACAAACGCAAAGCTAAAGGGTTTGCCAGCCCGTTGTCCCAACCTAGCATCCCGAAAATAAGGGCGATTGTCTTGGGAGTAAATTGCTAAGGCACGAGTCATGTTCTTGCGTTTAGTTACGTTTCCGGGAGTCTGCAAGGAAACGTCTTTTCAAAAAAAGCTGACATAAATTTCAGTAGGATTAAAATTTGAATTTTAATAATACGAAAGAATAAACAAAAATGAAATAAATTTACAATGGTTTAGCACAAACTAGATAACGCTCTGAAAAAGTACAGATCAGTTTTGTCTTCGTAAACGGACATTATGTTTTGTACTCTTTCATTTAAAACTCGATACTTTTTCTTTTTTGTGAATTTATGGCCACTCGATGCATCAAAAAAGTTGAGTTTTTGTACGGAAGCGTCTTTTTGCAGGCTACCCACTACTTTCCACATATTTGGGTGGGCTCCGCTGAAATATGATTGAATCCCGAAATGCCATCCCTCGACAGCATTTGTTGATCGAGCAATCCCCATCACGGCCGCATCTCGCTGGTTCCAAAGGGAGGGTGGGAATGAAACCTCACGGTTTGGCACCAAGCTTTTTATATAAGTAGAGCCGAAGTACAGACACAAATCGTCAATTTTCTCTATTTTCTCGGGTTCTAAGCAATTTCTGTCGCATACATTTTGAATTTCTTGAACAATCATGTCATAGGAATCGCCGATCTTTACGTTTTTCTCAAATGCCAGGGATGGCAGCATTTTTAAAGCCAGTGCTAAATCGTGATTTGTTTCGTAGGTAACTTTCTGGCCCAATTCATTAATTTTTCTCATGTAACTCCGGGAGAGATGAAAAAAACAACCCGATAAATGTGCTTCGGGGAATGTTTTTTGGAAGGACTGAAGAGCAGCTTGCTCAAAATCTAACAAAATTTTTTCAGGCCGGCAGTTGGGTGCTAAATCAGTTAACGCCTGCAGGAAGCGATTGTAGGTTTTTTCGGTTTTGTTAGGGAGGAAGGCGTAAATGCAAGCTGGCGCAATGCCAGATACACTAACATGAATTGAATAAAGCTGATAGAACATTTTTGGGGTAATTTTGAAAGTTCCATCGGCTAACCAGAAAGATGACTTCTCCAGAACTCTCAGCATTTCGGGGTCGCCGCACAAAATGATTCGCTCATGATCATTTGATCCACTGTCATACCGGATAAAATTTTCAAAAATTTCAGGGATCTCGAAATTTCGCGCAACGGGGATGGGCGGCATATTTACATCTAGCTGCTTACGAGTGCGAGCAGCCGTTCGGATCAGCTTGTCTTTACTTGGGAGAGCAAACTGAGTAGCCAAATCGTTGGTAATTGGCAAAACCGCACTGGCAACTGCAACAGTCGGGGTAAATCTCTCGCTGAGATCTTCTATATGCTTTATGACATTTCGGGCCTCCGATTTTCCCGCTGAAATGTCGTGATTATGCTCTCCACGCGTCTCGATTAATTCGTTATTTTCAGTAATAACAGTTGCTCGACATTTATGTGTTTGATATTTTGAGCAAATCCAGTTTATTGTAAACTTATTTTTCCGCTTGAAATAAAATTCATGGCCGGACGCTATAAGAATTGGCTTGTTTTTAGATGAAACTGTGAACTCGAAAGAAGACTCAATCATAATGTGTTTATTGTGTTTGCGTTTGTTTATCACGTTTAATTTTTGTCAGAATTTTTACGGCAAATTGTTTTGAATTAGCACAAGCAGCTTTTTTAGTAATCATAAAGATTTAGCGAAAAGTCTAATTGAAAATAAATTACAAACCTGTAGATAAGAGTCTTAAGTAAATTGGGAAGCCTCCTTTTAGCATGTATAACTAAGATAAACCAAGTTTTTCATTATGGTGCGCGTGTTAATTGCAGGGTTAACTTTGGTGTGATAAGAGTTAAGATAAGGAATTCATAAAGCATCAATTTTAATAGTGAAGTGACTAGGTGTTAAAATGTACTGTGTTAAACTGGAAAATATGAGTTATATTGTTGTCGATTTAAATTGTTTAGTAGTGAAATGACTAAGTTTTAAAATGTACGGTGTTAAATTGTATGTCATTAAGATGTAGGACACCTTTGAAACCAACTAGGGTCGTTAGAAGATCCCATTTGTCTAATTGTTTTTCATAAAATTCAATTCAAAAGCAGTAGAAAAT